AAGACAATGAAGTAAAAAATATGAAGACCAATGATATGTCGTCATCTGTATGCAATTGACCGAGTTCTTTTAAGAATAAATTCTGCACTTTCATTGATGTGCACCGTAAAGGTATCAATCTTGTGGTAGGTTTATTGGGTCACTGCGTCACGTATTAGGAAACCATGCTAGAAGATTAGGTCTCCAGTTTATTCATTTTTGAAGAGAGCGATAAAAATGCCTCACATTTACTTTGTTATTATTCATTGCATGCGCAGAGGTGATTTACTATTTTAAGAGCATTCTTTTTTGGTAATTTCTAAAACCTCACTATAAGTTTTAAAGCCTTTTAAATTTTGTTAAAAATTTTTGGTACATTTTTAAGGCTCAGTTAGTCGGTACGTACCGTAAGAACTTAAGTCAAAGCGATATATACAACCAACCACACCTGTGTATTTAAGAGAAACCAAATAAACAAAAACGGCGAACTTTGTTTATTTTATTCCTATTAAATAAACAGGTGTCATTAGTTGTGCATTTCGCTTTCGCTTAAGTTCGCTTTAGTTTTTACGATACGTACCGACTAACTGAACTTTTATTACTTTTAAAAACATTCTACAGGATCTGCTTAATTATCTTACGAGACAATAAAATTTATGAAATATAAAATATATATGAACTTATAAAAACATTTAGAAAATTTAAACACACACAAAAGTAGAGAAAAAAGAATTGAGAGACGACAGCATTTAAGCAACTGAGAAGCATAAAAAATTGATATTCTTCATTCTTCACAATTTAACTGAGAAATGCCAAGACAAGACAAGCCAAGTCAAGATTTCTTTTAATTTAGTAAACATATCAATTGTACAAAAACAACAACCAACACAAACACACAAAACTACATTACAAATAAAAACATAATAACAACAACAATTCAAAGAACAAGAAGAAAACCAATAAAATAAATGAGAATTTAACTGATTGTAAAGAGATGAGTAAACTTTTTCCCCAACAATAATAAAGAATATTCATTCAATCTGCACTAAGTGTGTATTGCAATAAAAGCAACAACAACAACAACAACAACAACAACAACAATAGTGAAATGTAATGGAGCAGCAATGAACCAGAAGCAGATATGTGCAGTAATGCAACACAGCAAAGCTATACACACACTATAAAAACGTTTAAACAACAACAACAAGAAAAATAAAACAAATTTAAACAAAAGCAA